TTTCGTTTAATCGATGGTGAGCTCGGAAAATTTAAAAGTAAATGGAAATGCATTTTTCTCAGAAATTTCTCGAGAGTACATTAGAAGTATTGATTATCAAGTACTTAAATAGAATAAATTTAGTTCATTAATTGTCCATCTAATTTCAGTATTTCAACAAAATTAATTTTGTAACATTTCTCAGTAAGAATTCTATTAATTCCAAAGAGCTTTATAAAATGCAAAAAAAAAATATATTTTGATTGATTTATTTTGATTTTTATAGTAATTTGATTTTTATTTGTTCTATTTTGCACAAAAAATTTAAAAAAACGAAAAATTATAAAAACACTAATTTTTTTAACTTTAAAAAAATGGCAGAACAATATATAGTTGTTTGATTTAAATATATTAACTCATTGCAGGGGAGATTTAGAAATATTTTTTATGAGAACTTGCACTAATCATGTAGAAAGACTCGAAATGGTGCCTTCAGATCGAATGATAGGTTTCCAAATTTGACTAAAACACCGTTTAATTTGGTACAAGTTCCCTCTTGGTGAGCTAAATGAGTAACAGCGGTACAGCCGTTGCTTATGGCATAAAGATTAACTGTCTCTGTATTGCCGGATGCATTAGAACAATAACAACACTGTTTAATTTTATGCCTTTGTGTCAACTAATTATACTAAAAGAAAAACTCCATGAAATATCTCAGCTACTGCATCGTTATTAATTTCAAATATTTATATTTTATAAAAGCAAATGGCAGATTATCATTGTGAACAAAAAATTTTAGATATAGAATTAGAAGCAATTGTAAAATACCAAACAATAAAAAAAAATACCCTTCAAATAAATTTTTATTTTAAACTTTTTTTAAAAGTTTTCCTGCATTTTATATTCATAAATGGAGGGGTAAGTAGACCTACCTACTAGTGGTGCACCCTGGGCAACGTTCTATAAGACTAAGTAGTTTCGGTATGAGCTCTCGCTGCTATCCTAACCGTCGTCCGGTTACCTGCATATATTGCAATGAAATGCTAGTATGTTGTCTCAATAAAAAAAAGAGCATCTAATGAACATCTATATCCCATTTGGATTTTCGTCCAACCAAACTGCTCTCTTAGTGATTTGACAGAACTAATGAACCGAGCTCGTCTACATCGTTGATTGAAACTTCTTGGCGTATTCGAAACGGCGAGATACTGACAAGCGAGAGAACTCTTTAGGCCAGGGGTCTCCAAACTACGGCCAGCGGGCCAAATCCGGCCCTCCAGCGTCATCAATCATGCCCGCGACAGCGAATAGCTCATTGTTGCTGTAATAAGTTGGATAAAAAAAACACAGAATGGTAATAACTCGTTTTTATTTACTTACTAGGTAAAGCTTAATTGACAAGCATAATACGCAGAAAATTTAACTTAAGTATAACAACTAACAAATAATTGAAATGAATCCCACTAACGTTATAAACTAGTGAACGTCCCGCGGTTACCCTCGGTAGTTATACCTACCTATTTCCGGTAACAAAGTTGACTTCGGTCAACTTTGTTGAATTCTTTTGTGTATATTTTCTGTTTTATTCTGTATTTTCAACCTTTTTGTATTGCTTTGCCATTGGAAATTTAAAAAAATAATAATGCATAAGCTAATTAGACTTACCAGATTTGTAAAGTAGCAGAATACTTCTGTGATTGATTCTCGATATTATATAAAATATACTTTGCAAAAATTCAATCTTCTCTTCTTTACTATCTTATCTAAACTGTTCGAGTTACTATAACTATTTGTGCACGTAAGCATATTTAAATGCTGAAATTCCAAAAAGGATTTAGATATCTCTTTGTTTCATCAATTTATACAGCTGTGACTTATTTATTATCCCCCCAGCCGTCAAAAAATGTTTGCTTTTCTTCTAAGCTATTTTGACCTTGGCTCAATCTGTTTTGCAATTGATTTCATCATCATCTACACTCCTTTATTTATTTTTATTTTTAATCTTCTTTTAATTATTTTCAAATTTTTGTTGTTAATTAATGTTACAACTATTTTCTAATTTTAAATAAATAAATCTTTTTAGAAAAGAGTATTTAATTATCTTTTATTAACTCAAAAGGCATGAGACCGCCGCTATGTTTCAATGAAGGCCATGGAGGACGCTACGAGGCCAAGGATCTCCGTATTAACATACAATAAGAGATAAAAAAATTTTATCGTCTTTGAAGTAACGTTTGTTGTTTAAATAAAAAGAAATTTTCCAAGAAAAGATGAAATTTTAAATGACATTAAAATTAATTTAAAATAAACTTTCAATTCTCTCTATGGCGACTTTGAAATGCTTTTTTTTTCTGTATTTTTAAAATGACATCAAAAATGGTTTCTAGTACAGAAATTCACATCTTTAAACAGTGTTATTAGACTGAGGATTATCAATCGAAAAGAGGATGGTTTATATTACAACGTCTCGGCCTCTACTAGATCTATAACTGCTTCAAGAAGAAGGCCACTTTCAGGTTCATAGGAACATTTTAATTTTTGTTTACAAACCCCTATATCAATATATATATATATTATATAACTGTATTTACAAAAAAATGAAGATTAAAGATAATTTGATTCACAAGTGCAGTTCACTCCAAGGTCGGAGATTTTCAGAGTTCTCGAGTTTACAACGAATTTAATGCACTGGTCTGTGGCAGACCTTAATCATCACAAGGCGTGATACACGAAACCAAAGGGGGCTCATTTAATAAACGGGCGGAAAATCCGGCCTTTTCAGTCATTTCAGAGGGAAAATAACATTTTTGGTCGATTCTTCTCAGTACTCTGTCTCTCCACCAAAAAAAATTCCTTTTAACACAATCCATCAAGCGGGTCAGCTTCCCTCACTTGCCAGTGGAGCAGACATTTCTCAGCTCATGGTCTATCACTAATCATGATGGAACAACTCATGGTATAGCTTATATTCAATCTGTAATTGTTTCGACCTGTGAAGATCGCACAGACGTTCGCTAATTGGAACATCTAATATAATAGGTTCTATGTTTCACTGTACGTGACCTCAGTGACTATCCCTAGATACGCACAGATGATTGCTGGTAGTAGAGCAAACCAGATTCTTAGTTCAAGTTGTTAACTCTTTTAGTTCAACTTAGACTGGTGAATCTTTTTCTTTTTTGAAGATGAAATTGACCAAATGTAAAACACACTCAAACATAACGGACGCAAACCTGCAACACCAATTACGATGTGCAAATACCCGAATTGAGATCGATTTGTAAAAGCTAAGTGAAAGAGTGGATAAACAAACATAGCTCTACTAAAATAAATATTTTTTAATGATTTCATTTTTTATTTCATTTATATTTATATATATTTTATATTTAATTTTTAGTGTTATATATTTCTTTACAATGTGCGTTTGGTATCATTATTATTATATTATATATGTTTACATGCAAGAATAATAGTAAGCACAAAAATAATAACTCATTATGTTTCAATTTTTCATTCCAAAAAGTGTCTATAGTGGCTTTAAATCTAATATCGGGATATAAAATTTTATATGCGGCTCGCGGAGTCATGATACAATTCCAAAGTGGCCCACAAAATCATTTGAGTTGGCCACCCCTGCTTTAAACCTATTCACCTACCTAGCACAAAGACCTATAATTTTTTACATCGGATCTTCTAATTGATTGTCAGAACGAACCTGTGGTTACTCACATCTTTTATTTCTCAACCTAGATAGTGGCTATAGATGTAGCGAAGATCGATTCGCCTAATGTCTACAGCCTTATAAATATTACTGCGATTATCCTTTAAAATATTATTATAATGGGTGTATTTTATTCTAAAATGGTTTATTGATTTTAGTAAATCTTTCCTTTTTTATTAAATTCCTTCTATTAGTTCACACTCTCCCTATATATATCTTGTTCAAATTTTCAATCGTTAATAAAATACTTTCTATTCATCCACTCAAGTTCAAATACATTTTTTTTAACTTGTAGTGTATGACACTTGATGTTAACACAGTTTTTTCAAATATTAATTCATTAATTAAATTTAATTAATTAAAAATTTTTTTAGATATAAGTTGCATGTATCTACCAATAGATGGCGCCAGATGTAAGAGGAAAATTTCAACTTTCTAACTTAAACAAATGGATAAATTATTTAGAAAGGACTTTCTACAATATAGTGGGGAAAAGTGGAAATTGACTTTAAAAATTTTTTATATTACTTGGTTTTAACATGAAATTGAATTTTATTCACGGGGGCATTTAAGGCTTAACTAACTTGGACCGAGCACCTGAATATCACATAATTTCATGCATAGAATACCACCGTGGCTATGGTAACAAAAATTACAAAAATAAATGAATAAAAGATCGACTTGGCTAATATTATTCATTTTGTGGCAATAATAAATTGTAATACTAGAATGGCATGACGCCAGACTTCGAATACGAATTTGTGAAAAAAATAAAATAAACCACACAGGTAGCAATAAACTTGTGCTAAGCACTAAATATATTTTTGTATGAGAAACACCAAGCGTCGCATCCTGTAAAAAAAAATCTACAACATTATAATACAATAGCGCTGTCGTTATTACTTTTTATAACGCTTATATACATTTCAGTTTAATGTATGGCAGGTCAGTTGCTTTTTTATTATTAGAGAATGCATCCTCTGCAGGATTTGAATTCCTTCCAAAAACAAATTGCATGTTTGTTGTTTCTTATCCCACTTGGCTGGCCAAGCCCACGAGCCCATACGTACTCATGATTGAAGGGGAAGGAAGCAGCTTCTGTTGTGATGGAGCACCCGTAGGTAGAAGCTTGACTTTGGCTCCGTGACGCTCTTACAGTCATAGGAGACCCGGACCTACGGCTTAAAGTGGATTCCGAACCACTACAAACATCCATGGCACAGCCGGGATTCGAACCCGAAACCTGTGGCACCGAGCGCCAGAGCGCTAGACACTCGGCCATTCAGGTCCCAAATTTGCCAACGGCACGCGGTGTTCCCAGGTGGTCACCCACCCAAGTACTGACCGCGCCCAATGATGCTTGACTTCGGTGATCTAATGAGAAGCGGTATATTCAGCATGGTACGGCCGTTGGCACAAATTGTACGTAATGATCAAAAATGCATATGCTATTATCGTACATCAAAGACAGTGAGCAAAGATATTTCGAAGAAAAATTATTCAATTTCACAGTTGATACTTTCTCTGCTACTAATATATCTCGAAAAGTTATGAACAAATTTTAAGTGATTGTACTATGACTTCCATTTGATATATTTTGCAGTGTGTGTGCATGTCCAATCTCGATAAATATTTCGATTGCAATCACATATATATATTTACGAATATAAAAGTATTAAAAACTGTTAAGTTTTAGGTATAATAGGAAGCATTATAGGAAACGCATGAATACGAAATCAAGTCAGTGTAATATTACAAAATACCATCAAATGTTGAGGTTGAACAAAAAAAATTCAGTAGACATTAATTTGACAATTTTACAACGATTAAAAAAACTTTAAATATCAACTGAAACTTTGATATACATTTTTTCCTGATACAAGTGTTATACTATGATATCAAAGAATTATTTTTCATTTCTTACATTAGTCAAATTTTCTTATTTTTAAGTAATGATACTTCAAAATTGATTTATCTTTTAATTTTATGGTTTTTAATAATCTCCTTCCCATAATCAAAGTATTTTTTATTGCGTGAATAGTCTTCACATTTTTTTTCCATGAATGTGTAAATCATATTATATCAGTAAAACAAATTGAATACAATTGATGAAATAATTTATAAAGTGATAAAATTATTATAAATTACCCTGGAAATTGTATCAGGTAAGAAATATGCTTGTAGTAATTGCAGTTAAAAAGATAAAAAGGTTTTTTATGTTCTTGAATAAAAATTATATACAATCGGATATATAGAGGTTTTCCCAACAAATCTAGCACATTAAAATTTGATAAAGTATTCTGCGCAACATTAATCAAAATACTATATATATGATAAAAAGAGAATTTTATCTACAAAATACATCTAATATATAAATACAGATCCATTTGAATAACATGAATATTTTTCAAAAAAAGAAATAAAATGCAAACAAATGGTTGGAAGATAATCACTTGAAATGCAAAATAAAACACTTCAGGCATCTTTAAAATGTGCAAAATTATTTTTGCAGTGTTGTTTTAAATCTAAAAACATTTGGTAAAACACATAGATTTCTAATCATTCAACTGCATTTGCTCCAAAATTGCTTCTAAAATTTTTTTAAAATTACATTAAAAATTATTTATAAAAGTAAAAAAACTATCCATTTTGTCATAAGAATAAATATGAAACATATGAATGATAAAGATAATAGAAACTCGAAGCTTGTACAAATGCATCTTTGCGTAAGTTCTTTATGCATCATTTTGATGTGAATCACTCACAAAATTAATTTAATTTTAAATGATTTTTTAACTTTTCAATAACATAAAAATTAAAAGAGAAACCAACATAAAGTCAAATGACGTTAAAATATATTCTAGATCAAGTTTTTGTATACCTTTTTCAATTTTGAAGAAATATTAAGTGGAGTAAAAATCATTAAGTAACTATCATTAACTAACTTAAGAACTTGGTGCAATAAACAACGTAGAGCACGTCTCACAATTCTAAAACAAAGAATAAATTTTCAAGCACCAAGGTTTGTGCTTCTTTCTCTCCCTCGTAAATTGAACTCTACGGTTTTCGTAAATGCCTTCTCGCTGTTGCGTCATTGGGTCTTCGTGCAGACGTCTTATCCTCGACGTCTATGGCTCGAGTTCTAGTCATGACAAAAGGCTTTTTAACGTAGCACACGCAACAAGACGGGAAACGGAAGGCGTCTGTGTAGGTCTTTTTCTTGTTGGGATGCAGGGCTAGGAGTCTCTTGTAGGCGAACTTCTGACGACATCTAGAAGTGACATCTGAAGGAAGAGCGCCGTCCAAGTACCGACATGGCATGTCTTCGTCACCGCTGTAATAGAATGCATAATTAAATCAATATCTTAGAAGGATAATATTATAAACATAAACTAGAATTGCTTAAGATACGTACCGTTTTCATACTTGTATTTTAACACTAAGATTAAAATTTCAATTACACATTCCAGCCGTAATCACAAATTAATAAGCTATTTACATACTCCTGTCATAATCCTAAATTAATAAGCTATTTACAATTTAATTGTTAATTTTCTATCTAACTTAATTGTTATTTATGTTAGCGAAACTAAAGAAAATCGATTAACATCTATTTTGGTAAAGATCTGCAATTTTCAACAAAACATCTTTAATTTTCTAAATATATCCATGAAGTGCTTTTCAAATCGAGCTTTGTATCCAGATATAACTCTATGCAATAAAAACTTTATAAATCGTTTAAAAAAATGTTAATACAATGTCGAATAGAATTAAAGTTAAAAAATATTTTGACAATGCTTTCAGATAATCAACTAAATTATTACAATCTAAATTTTAGCTTAATATAAATCTGAAAATAATATGATTTATTCATGTGTATTCTGCCTTAGACATAGTATAAAGATTTTTTATAAATAGTGGAAAATTTTGATTGCTTTTTTAAAGTTACCTCTTATAAATATAATTAAATTTTGAATTTGTAGGGTTTCATAACCTTTTTCTATTTTATGAAACTTTTGAACAAATAGAAATTTTTAAAGTATAAAAAGCACTTTAATTTCGTAACATGTTTATGTGTTCTTGAAAATGTGAGAGAGTGAAAAGACTAGGGCGGTGATAGCCCTATTTCAAAACTGATGAGGTAGAATTTTCAAAGTTTTTATCAATCGAAAATAAATAAAAAAAAATTTTTTTTTCAAAATCAAAATTTTTGCCTTTATAAAAGATGTGCGCTCTAATGCAGTGGTTCTCAAAGAATGCGCCCTAGATTTCGGGATACACCCTGGGGTATTCCACAAAAACAAGATAGTCCAAATATAAAAAATATAGTTACTATTTTTCTCATCAGCTTTCATTACAAATAGCATATCTCTGTGGTAGCTTTTTTTCCACTTCTTTCTTCACACACAAAAAAATTTACAATCAGCGATAATGCTTTACGAAGAAACTAGGAGCGGTAATTTCCATGGTTGGCTATCAGGAGGGTTACCTCTATGTGATTTTCAATGTTACATATAATTGCATTGCAGCCTATGAGATTCCGCCGTCTGTAGGTACTTGTATGAGGAGTTGACCATCTGAATATATAGTTGTGAGTCTTTGGTAGCTGATTTAGTATTTTTGTTGTGTATATTACTTATTTTGAAAGTGTTGGATAGGATTGTTATGTACATAATACTTGTTTTCAGATAATTGCACGTAAATAAAATGGTTAGATTTCTCAAATAAAAGCTTGTTATTGAAGATCTGATTCTGGAAGTTAACAAAAGTTAAGTGCAAGTAAGAAAACAAAATCGCAGCCTACTCCCAAAATATAATGAAGTAATTTAAGCTTTACTTTCACTATTGTTGGCCGGGTTTGTGGACCGGAAGTGAAGATCCTCCGTTGTATCCTATTAAATCAATATCCTTTGCCATTATATTAAGGATGTGAATGTAAAATGGCAAATGAATCATTACTTTCTAGTAAATTGAGTAAACATTTTAAAACTATATACTCTAATTTACTAGGTAAATCTGTACAATTTTCCAAGTGATTGCCTGAACAACAAACAAAAGCGGCAAATTCTTGTTGTATCTGCTAAAGTACTTATCACTTCTTATCAAGTCTCAGATCTGATGGGAAAAAAATATGAAAGCTCATATTTTAGGTAAATAACTTATTTTGCCAGCATACAGAAAAATTATTGTGACAATGCTAGGAAATGAAGCAAGATTTCTCTATCCAACGGTACAGTTAACAACCGTATTATAAAAATGTCTTCTAATATCACGAAAAATGTATGCAGAAATAAATTTCAGAATTCAAATTTTGCATTGCAAGTTGCCTCAATAGGCATTGCCATTAAGACGCAATTTCTAGCATTTGTCCCTTTTATTAATAAAAATTTTATAGTAAATCATCTCATTTGCAAATAATTGTGTCTACAAAAGGTAAGGGTGTTTTAAACATTTTGAATAAATTTTCTTGATAAATAGCAGTTAACATGCAAGTCGCGTGGCATTTGGCGTGACAAGTAGGCATTTGTACAGAAGGAGCCCCTACCTTGGTAGGCTGTGTTAAAGCCTAATGGTTTTGGTAAAAAAACAAAATGAATATGTTATCGCAACCGATTGTTTTCTTCTGCCTTGATGACAAAAACAGGGGCAGAAAATTAAATAAAGTTATACACTGAAGTGACAAAAGTCATGGGATACCTCTTAATATCGTGTCGGCCCTCCTTTCGCCCGGCGACGTGCAGCAACTCGACGTGGCATGGACTCAACAAGTCGTTGGAAGTCTTCTGCAGGAATATTGAGCCATGCTGTCTCGATAGACGTCCATAATTGTGAAAGCGTTGATGGTGCAGGATTTTGGGCACGAACAGACCTCTCGATGATGTCCCATAAATGCTCGATGGGATTCATGTCGGGCGATCTAGGTGGCCAGATCATTCGTTGGAATTGTCCAGAATGTTCTTCAAACCAATCGCGAACAGTTGTGGCCCGGTGGCATGGCGCATTGTCATCCATAAAAATCCCATCGTTGTTTGGGTACATGAAGTCCATGAATGGCTGCAAGTGATCTCCAAGTAGCTGAACATAAGCATTTCCAGTCAATGTTCGGTCCAGTCGTACCAGAGGACCAAGTCCATGCCATGAAAAAACAGCCCACACCATTACGGAGCCATCATCAGCTTGAACAGTGCCTTGCTGACAGTTTGGGTCCATGGCTTCGTGGGGTCTGCGCCACACTCGAACCCTACCATCAGTTCTTACCAACTGAAATCGTGACTCATCGGAACAGGCCATGATTTTCCATTCATCTAGGGACCAACCGATATGCTCACGTGCCCACGAGAGTCGCTGCAAGCGATGTCGTTCTGTCAGTAAAGGCACTCGAGTCGGTCTTCTGCTGGAATAGCCCAAGAAAGCCAAATTTCTCCGCACAGTTCTAACAGACAAGTCCCTTGTACGTCCCACATTGATTTCTGCGGTTATTTGACGCAGTGTTGCTTGTCTGTTAGAATTTACGGCTCTTTACAGACGTCGCCGGTCTCGGTCGTTAAGTGCAGGCGGTCGACCACTGCGCTGTCCATGGTGGGATGTTATGCCTGAAATTTCATACTCTCGGCACACTCTTGACACAGTGGATCTGGGAATGTTGAATTCCCTAACGATTTCCGAAATGGCATGACCCATGCGTCTAGCTCCAACTAACATTCCGCGTTCAAAGTCTGTTAATTCCCGTCGTGCGGTCATCATCACGTCAAAACCTCTTCACATGAATAACTTGAACAGAAATGAAAGGACTGCGCATTTATACCTGTTCTACGCGATGCTACTGCCCTCTGAAAATTTGCATATTGCTATCCCATGACTTTTGTCACTTCAGTGTATATCAAGTAGTTCAGATGGTAAACTTTATTAAAGTAAGACAGGTCGAATTCTATGTTTATTCAAAAAGTTTATATCGATGTGGATTCACAATGCAGATTGCTGCTTTCACACATTGAGGTAAAGTTATTGTCAAGGGAGAATTACCCTTGTACACAAGATAAAGACAGACTTTTCGTCTTTTTTTTTCTTTCTGAAAAGATAAAATAACTTCACTTTGTAATCTCCTTCGAGGTGAATTTTGGATTGCCAGATTACAGTATTTGGTCACTGTGTTTCAGCAGCTCCGTATTTTCAATACTTACTAGCATGCAAGGGAAAGAAGAAAATATTGTCACATCCACTGACAAAATGAATGTGCTTTAGAGAAAACTGCAGATTAGGGAAAGAAAAGCTTTGAAGGTAATTTGAAAATGTTTCCATTGGTAAGTAACACTTGAATAAATGAAACTCTTCCAATAATTGTTGAACATTTAATGGGTGTAGAAGAAAAATTGAGTTCTTATTTTCCATCACTTAGCAGTAAACAATGCGATTATATTAGAAATTCCATTATGAAAATTTCAAATGATTTTAATTTAACTTTAACAGAAAATGAGAAGAACGGGCAGCTATATCCACTGATTATGGATTGATGATTAAACATAAAAAATTGCCTTTTGGATTTTAATTAAAAACCTTCTAAGCTCTGAATTATTTAATTGCGCTTTGCAAATTTAAAAAAATTTTTTAAAGCAGTTTCTTTTAGATTTTAAGCAAACGTTTTTTAAGTAGTGGTTTTGATTATCTTTTACGACATAAGAAACACTTTCAGATAAAATTATTAAAAAGCAAACATTAAAAGCTTGTCAAAAACTCACACGCATATTTCTGCCATGACAGTCTGAACATAATCTACATCGTTAACCACATAAGCCCATTGATCGTTTTCATTGACAGCTGCTTTGGGGTAAAACAGCCTTGCATGTTGAGGACAAACGGTATCTTCATCTAGATCACCGGATTTCCGAGAACTAACGGCCAAAGTACCAAAAAGTTCCACAAACTCCTCAGACGAGTAATTAATGGCTCTTCGGATCTCTCGCCTGTAAAAAAAAAAAAAAAAAATAGTTTGTTTACCAAGAATAATAAGTTTTAAAAAAATAACATAGCAAGTTCAGATGCAAAATGAAAACATAGAATTTACACATTTTAAAAAACAAATTCAAATGCATTTTCTAAATTTTCTATAGTTTTTATATTGGGAAAATGAAATAATCAACTATAAAGTAATTTAATATCCAAGTAACATAATCTTATTTAACTGAAATATGAGTATTATCATTTCACAGAAATCTTGATATAAACTGTCAGATTTGGTAAAACTTTAATTATATCACTTCGATTGATTCATCAATGTCTTCGATAGAGATTAGATATCCAATACCTCATCTTTAACTTTAATCATCACCAGATTATAAGTAAACTGAATTTAATTCTTTATTGTCCTCTTGATTCTGTCAAATGTCATGGACCAACGAATAAATCATTAGCATTTAATTCTCTTCACATTGGTAATCTTAAAAATTGTGTAGTATGAAACAGAATTTTAGGGAATCAGCTTTCTGCATTCATTTACAACACTGCAGTTACATCATGCTTTATAATACTACAGTATACTGTAAAATCTTGGAGTAAACACTAAACTTTATTTTGAAGAGAAAATGCAACTTATTATAATACAGAAGATGCTTATGAGTCCTCTAAATTCTCTAAAAGAGTTAATAGTTTGTAAATTTGCGCGATTTTTTTTTTTTCAATTAAGAAGTTTTTACAGTTAAATTATGTTGTTTTGTTGTTTCTTATCCCACTTGGCTGGCCAAGCCCACAAGCCCATACGTGCTCATGATTGAAGGGGAAGGAAGCAGCTTCTGTTGTGATGGAGCACCCGTAGGTAGAAGCCTGACTTTTACTCCGTGACTCTCTTACAGTCATAGGAGACCCGGACCTACGGCTTAAAGTGGATTCCGAACCATTACAAACATCCATGGCACCGCCGGGATTCGAACCCGAAACCTGTGGCATCGAGCGCCAGAGCGCTAGACACTCGGCCATTCAGGTCCCAAATTTGCCAACGGCACGCAGTGTTCCCAGGTGGTCACCCACCCAAGTACTGACTGCGCCCAATGATGCTTGACTTTGGTGATCTAACGAGAACAGTTAAATTATACTTATCATATGCCTATTAAACTGAAATCTACGAATAATTTATTTATTTAACTGATATATAGATATCTGCCAGTAGGTAGACGGCCTTGGTCCACCATGGAGCAGTTGTGCCAATGGAAGAATTGATATATAGCTATCTTGAGATGAGGTTTATATTAGGTACGTATTAAATATGTGTAACATATGATAAACGCAGACTGATATATGGCGAGTACATACGATACTAAATTCAATATTAATTAAGAAATTAATAAGGAATAATTAATTTTTTTAATTATTAAATGAGTTTAATAATTAAAAAATTAATCTGCGCTACTGGATAGCTAGAATTAGACGATAATTATAAAAAGTGTCACGTATATTTCTTTTTACAGTTATTTTTACAATTACTTAAAAATTGTTTAACGCATTTATGGATGAATTAAATGATAATTGAATGTTTTACTGAAAGAATGTTTTTATAAAGCTTTATTCTATGAAACATAGTATATAACACTTTTATATTCAATTACAATTAAATCAGGAAGGACTCTTATCTGATAACATGCACCGCTGGTGAACAATAGGGCTGAGGTTCAATATGCTGAGGCATTGTTGAAGACACTTTTCAAAAACGAGAAGCCTCGATGGCGTTTGTTACGTTCAGCATCCTGCCTCATTAGTTGGATCCCACTATCTGGTGGGATTTTTTCAAGTTCTCTCAAACTCTTTTCAAATTCTCTCTCCACGGTATGCTATTGCGCGGTAGCTTCTCCTAAAAGTCCCCCCGGAAGGCACTGCCCTCCTTCTTCAGCGACTCGGTTCAGTTTCAAGTCAGACTTCTACCTACGGTGCTCCATCACAACAGAAGTCACAACAACACAATTAAATCTCGTCAATTTTTTTTTTAAATAAATATTGGAATTTTTTCCTCATGCATGTTATTTTTAAAAATCAATTCAAAATTTTCAACAGGTTTTGTATTTTTACTTCTAAATTAAAAAATTACAAATTAACCCCTATTCCCAAACGAAAAAAAAAATGATTTTTTTTTTTTTTATTTCACTAGACGGAGTCAGTCAGTAAGGTTTTTGTACCAAATTTACTGACAGTTATCATTCATTTTGATATAAAGTTAATAGAAACAAGAAATATGTCAAATCAAATTCTTAAACAATTAATTAATGACAGCTTTTAATCCCGTGTTATTATAAAAGTGTTAGTCACTCACACTGGATAGTGCTCCACCGTCTCGCAAAAGGTGTCACCGGGTTTCTGGACGCAGAGTGGGTGTCCGTACGTGTCGGTGGGCGGCGCCAAGGGCTGCTGGCGACCTACGTACTCTACGACGGGATCCGGAAACACCGGAAGTGAGTGTTCCGTCGCATTGGTGTCAGGAAACAGGACCGTCCTTTCACTTTTCTCTTGTCTGGAGGACTGTTGGAAAGCCGACGGGCAATTGTGCACCACCAAGAATGCAATCTGTAAGGAATTAAAACGAAATATGACATTTATAAATGATGTTGTTGAGCATGTCTACATCTATAGCTGTTGCAAAGTGAAAGATTTCATTGCTTGCTTACTTATAAAAAATTTTGTAGAATTATGATTTTTTCATATCGTTTATTTCACATATTGAAAAATTATATGCCAATGTTTGGTGCAATGTTTGATACAATTGTAAAGTAATTGTATCATTCTAAAAATTAACATGTTAAGTGTTTCAAATGTTATGCGAGTAAAATTCAATGATTTGTTAAGATACGATATGAAATCACTAATTAGTTTTAACAAAAATTTGACAAAAAGTAACAATAAAAGACGTCTGTCAGTAAACTCCCCTCCCAATCTTTATCTATCCATGAATATTAAAATTATAAATTAAATCAAATTTTCGGGACTACTTTATTGAACAAAATATGCACTGCTAGACAAATAAGCAAAATAAACTGAATGCCTTCATCGAGTTTCTCAGAAATTTACAAAGCATTATTCTAATTACCAAGCATATGCTAAAATATTTCGGGAGGGGCAAATTATCTATAATAGTTTATTTAGCTTAGCTTATCAGTTATCAGTCTTATCATTAGCTTATCAGTTTATTTAGCTTAGGATGATAGAGTGTAATTCGTACATTAAGATTTGAATTACTATTTCAAAAACCAGCTTAACTGCTATTTCAATAACACTAAAATATTTAAAAGAAAACTAAATTGGCCAAAATAAGTAATATTGCTTAAAATACACTACATCCTCTAAGACAGAAAAAAACAATGCGATGAAAAACGACAGATGCAATTTTATATGCATATAGGCAAAGGATTAAAAGTATAAAGGAATTGAATGCTTTAATCTAGAGATATAGTTATAAATAACCAATTAATAAGATTCTGCCCATCTTTGGCCCTTATGCAAGCTGTTATCCTTCATGCTTGGTAAGACTACGGATCATGTCCTTCTCATTTAGCGTATTCCCTTTTGATCAACTCTCAGCAATATTCTTCCAGTTAAGAGATTTTTGTATTCTGAAGTCCCCATCTACACAATTAAATCATCTTACATTATATCTTATCGGAAGAGTTGCAAATTATTAATCGGCCTTCCCAATAATTTGTAGAGTCGGAAGATTTTTTCCTGTGTGATTTCTTATTAAATCTCCCCAATTTTCAATTTAGATTGAACAAATCCTGGGACTAAAGAAGGCACCCGCACATCAGACCAAAAAACCGGCTTCACTGGGTGGAAATCGGGTGACTTAACAGTACACAATAATGTGCGAAAACGATCAAAATTATTGCCGTGTACGGCCATGCTATATCCTGCTGAAATGTGTTTATTTCTTATCCCACTTGGTCGACAACAACTTCTAAACCAAGTTCCATGAACCCGTATGTCTTAAACCGATGAGTCATGATAATGGGAAAAAATGGAATTTCTTTTTGTTTTTGACATTGCGGTACAATGATATGGAGCATCCAACTGGGGAAGTCTGATCCTGTTATACCCCCAACCCTATTATACTCCCGGGAACTGAGAACCAATTTTAGTCGCCTTTTACGACTTGGATGGGCAACAATGGGGCTATTTTAACCAGGACCCAAAACCCAGGGTGCAGTGAATGGAACAGCAACACAACAGAACATTAAATATCGTTGAAGAATTGTTATGTTGCAAGGATGTGAACAGTAGGCAACCTAAGAAGTGTTCAACTATTTAATTAAATGGCACTGCAAACAATAACACCCTTTTGTCAGTTGAAGGGTATTCAGATTTTCCTGGGTACACTGCTGTCTTACATACCTCCATCCTACATGATCATTCTCATTATGCTTTAAGCTCAGTTCGATGCATCAACTCATTGCTGGAAGCATTTCTACTTCAGTCAGCGAGATTCCTAATCGATCAGAACAAATATCACTTCAAACATACTAGTCAATTTTTAAAGACGAAGAGCATGGGAACTATGAACTCAAACCCCGTAATTTTAGTCATCTATCAATTGTTCATCGTATTCAAGTTATTTATTGAATCGTATAAATTTACAAAGTGCTGTGATTGCGTTCTTGTACTCGCGGTCTCTACAAACTCAACCTCTAACGCTGTGTTTCTCATGATCCAATCATCCCTCCCGACATCATCAAATGTTGACATCGCCCCGATTCAAATGTAGAGCGATACTTTTTTTTTTAATTGACCAGCTGTCTTCTAAAGACTAATTGCACTGTATTTACCAATGGTGACATTTGTTCACACCGTGAGCAAACCGTTTGAGGCATTGGTACAGTCCGAAAAAGAAAATTGAATCAAATTAGAATGGAACCATGGTCTATAAATGGGATTTCTCCTTTTTTTACACATCAACCGAAAGCTCAATATGCGATGTTCTGTAGCATCAGCTGTTTATACACTGGTCGCCAAAACTTTATAATTTTTTTTTATTTTAATTATTATCAAATTTGGTATCATTTGGTTTAAAATATGTTTGTATGTGAAATTTCTTTATATTCAGATAACTTTTAACTGTGTCTTTTTTGTTACACAGAGTCCTTTACAGTAATATTTTTTAACTTTTATTTACTACTAAAAAAATCAAAATATTCATTTAAAATATTTCAGTATTACAGCATTAAAATGAAAGAAATCTTCTAAATGTCCAAAAAATAAAGCTATCACTTAAAACTGTTAATTACTTTGTTTTTAAATTCATAAAAGGGGAAGAGTTGTCTAACAAATATTTTTTAGTTCCTCAAATCCAACTATATGCCAAAATTTAAAGTCATTATAAATGAAAAGACACATAATATCTTTCAAAATCTTTCCAGTGTTAATTTGCACATAATTATTTTTATAGGCTTAATTATTATTAAAAGATATTTTGCAGAGGACGATTTTTCAAAATAGTAGCTAAGAGATGTTTGAAGCAAGTTAACAAAGCTATAAAAAAGATTGCTCAATTTCAGCACTGTTTGGTTTAATGCAAACTGAAACAAAAAAAAAATTATTCATCAAATTTTAAATTGTGAATTTTAGTGCCACGTCTTTGTTCATCTGTTATCAGTGAATAACGCCGTTTATGAATTGCAAATGAGATTATGTAATTTATGCAAATATCGTTGAACTACTACTTCATTTTCTTGTTTCTACGGACGTTACCGTACTACCTGATATCTGATGCATATATTTTAGCTCTGTTCATGTCCATAGCAATTGTTAAAAGTTGAATGATGGGCAAAACTCTGATTTGCACGCCTTAACGCATTGGTTAATCAATGTCATGAATAGTTCGAGAATTGTAATTATCATTCCACATTATCAAGACTATGGAGAAAATACACAAATAGTAGGAAATGAATAATTGGGCAAACTGCCAAGAACAAACCACCATGAATCATGGAATTTTCGAAAACTCAACTTTATCTCATGTAGCCCGTGATAGCCTCAATTGACCTTTCAACAGATCAAAGTTATACAGTAGGACAATGAGTCGAAGGATTGTCCAGCTAAGCTTTCTT